GGAGAGATGTCAGAGTGAGGGGGCTGCCCATGCACAGGCACCCTGAGGAAATGGGGTGCTCAATGGCACCTTGACAGTGCCCAGCAGGTGAATTGGCACCTTTTCAGCCACCGGCCCACACTCCATGCTTGGTCCGGGCAGGGACTTGAGCTGGCAACCCTCAGGTTCCCAACCCAAGTCCTCAAAATCTGTATTTCAGCACTTGAAATGGGGTCTAAGATGGCTACCTACAGGCTATTTTGAGGTTTTGATATGCAGGCCAGCCATACAATGTCAATCAGTGAACTCTCTGTTATAAAATGAAAAAAAAAAAGTTTGCCATAATAGAGATAATCTGATAATTACGCCATCCAGAGGGGAAAACAAGGGTTAAAAAGCTAACAAAATGCTTGCAGCTACAGGGCTTGAAATTAACTTTTTTACATGGTAGCACTGGTGCTCCTAACTTCAAAAAGTTAGGAGCACCAGCAAAATTTTGGGAGCACCTACCGTAACGTAAGAAGCACCAACAGTGAGAAGCAGCATAGGTTTAAACTTGGTGAAGGAGAGGTGCTCTTTCGCGATGGTGTAGGCAGTGTTAAATTTCACTTTCATCTCTGCCTCTTCAGCTGCTCGTCCAGCAGCATGTTGTTGAAAAAATGCCTGAGTAATCGAGCCTGCATTCTTCTTAGACATTTGTCACAAGATTTCTTGTGTTTCGCGCTTTCTCCGTGTGTAATTAACCTCTCATGCTTGAAATGTGTAGACCCAGTAGTAAACAGACTTTTACCGGTGATCTCTGGCCCACAGGCCTTGCAGTGTACACAATGCATAGCTCCATTCTCGTACCTCAGCCATTCCAATTCTTTTAGCCACTCTCTCGGAAAAGCATACACCTTTACCTATTTTGCTGTTGCTGGTGCTGTCGCTTCGCCATTGTTGTCATGGCTGTCATCATCATCAGTATTATCATCATCTAAGGTTTCTCTTTCATTCACAGCGATGGTTCAGTGGTGTTTTTTCTAAAAAAGTCTTTCAGCGTTCTCTTCATTTTCTCTTCTCTCCGACATGAATTAGCTTCTTATATGCGACCAAAACAGTCGCAATTTTTTGCGACCCAAACACATAGGTCTACCAGAGAGGGAAAGTTATGTTGACAAACTCAATGTTGTCAGTCTATCTCAGTGTCCCTTCTCCAAACCTCGCTTATCTTGGAGAAAAGATCCTGCTGAATGGCCAGATGTGAAATACTATTTGATCAAATTACCAGATTATCATTTAACCTAAAAAAAAAAATAGGTCAAAACCTGGACTAGCTTAAAAAGTTCAACCTTTGCAATTTGTCTGGTCAAATTAGCAATTGTAACTTATTCAATAGTACCAGCTCTGTGAAAATTATATATATCTCCAACGTAATATATACAATTTTGTCTCGGGTTTTCAGTTTGGCAGCTTACAAAAACTCAGATCTGTACCCTTTTGGTAGTGTGCTCCATCACACAGCAGCTTTTAGGGGTTTTTTGGTTGTTTGTAGGGGTTTAAATCACCAGTTTCCTCACGATACGATATCAATTCTTGAGAGAGCGATATGATATTTGCCGATATTACTAAGTCTGCCACTGTACTACTTCGATTCAATGTGATTCAGGGGCCTGTGATCGATTTAAAGACGATAATAAATGCCCATTAACACAATCTGTTACAAAAGAAGCTAGCACCCTTTCTTTATACTTCTAAAAACAACACGTGATTAATAATTGCAGCAAAGTTTACTTTAAATTGCATCTACTAACACACATAAAAGAGCATAAATTAGCCTAGCCTAGCAGCAAGTGGACTTTTTCCTGTACTCATAGCTTAACAAATTACATGTAATACTATTATTTTTCTGCATCACCTGACAGAACAGTTTGCCTCGATGATAAGGGATCGTTTATCACTGAATAGATATATCGTTCCATGTCGATGAATCATTACACCCCTAGTTGTTCGCTTGCAACAGAAGGTGAAAATAAGGCATCTCCAGACAATACAAAGTCAATGGACAGTGATCATTTTTTTACCTTCCGGTGTGGGCGGGACTTATTGAGTTGCGTTCTGTCTCTACAGGGTATCATAATTTAATTTGTACAGCTAACCTTTAAAATTCAAGCTAGCCATACTAGCTAAATTATAAAGACAAAATAAAATGGTTATCAAATTTGTTATATATTAACTTGTGTTAAAGAAAGCTAAAGCTCACGTTTATGTTTTTAAAGTATTCAGCTACAGTTTTGGCCAGCAGGGCACCAATCACGTCAAAACATCAGCAGCCTCTAATAATGACGTGAAACAAAGCCTGGGCTCATTGAGGTGAGAAGCTACTGCCAAAAAAGGGAAACTAGCAGCCATCATGAGCTGTGAGCTGAAGCAGATTGAATACAAACTCATATTAATTTCATTTTGATAAGTCTCTGGAACACATTAGGAGCATTGAGGGTAAAGAAATAGAGCAAATCCTCCATTTCACAGACTCTGTATTCATACTTTCATAACAGCCATTGTTTCGGGGGCCAAGTAGCCAAAATAGCTTATTATTCAGTGATTCAGAGGGGCTGGGAAATGATTGCCCTGTCTACATTGCAGTCAAGTTGCCATGATGAACATCACACAGATGAAAGAGGAGGGAGCTGTTTTCGTCCTAAAACGAACAGGTGGAAACATTAACTGCAGTTGGCAGGTTGTGCTAACAAGCTGGAGGGTGTTTGCAGGCTCTCTGGGATGTGTGCGTCTGCACTGTGGCTAATTAATCACAGAGCACTGACACAGTTAAAATGAGGCAAATGACTGCGCTTCTCCAGGAACAACACAGAAATAAATGGGTGTGTGCTCCGTAATTGATTCCTCATTTTCACAGACTTCAAAAGCATCCGAGAGTTTCAATCAGATTACAGTTCTGGATGATTCCAAATTTATCAGCCAAATTAAGAGATGTTAAATTTACTCCCGGAGGAGCTCGGATTCTCCTCTTAACAATGCTGGGAATATAATGACCTTATGCTAATAATGCCCCTAAAAAAACGACAGATAATACAACCCCCTCAGGGTTTTTAGAAATGCTGTTTCGGGTTAGATGTTCTTTCATGTCTTTGGGTTTGTTTTACATTTATTCAAAAGTAAGCAAACTTCTGGAGAGTGGAATACTTTCACCGAGATGCAGAAAATGTTAAGCGCAAACTCAGAAAGAGAATGATTGCATCGCACTTATTGGATTCCCACTTTATTACTTAGTTTACATAGTTTTAAATATCCGCCATGGCAAACATCTGACATCCATTCAAACTATTTAGTTAGCAGAGTTTTAAGGCTAAACAAAAGCTGTTGTGCAGAGGAGGGGGTGGATGTCAGAGATAGATATATTGGATGTATGAAGTACATGTCATGAGTAAGCACTTTTATTTAGATAGTAGAGATTTTGTAAAAGTGAGCAGACATTGCCTGATGATGTTGGAGATAAAGCCTGTTTGCCACAGTTACAGTGTTTATGCAATCTTTAATATCCAACCACTTTGTTTATAGCGGTTGGGATTCAATTACCTCGCTGAGTTTTCACAAAGCAACCCTTCTGCTGATGCTGGACAACAATCAGTGTCCAGTTGTACAGGCTTTATTTTTTGGGGATCCCGCCGGGGGCCTGGCCTAGATGAATCCACATTATCGTCCTTATTATGAAAAATCTTTTTTGCATTTCATCTGGGAAACTTTCAGGCTTCAAGGGCATGATTAATGATTAAGAAGGAAAACTTCTCATCTTTGAAGCTCTTAGAGACATCAAAGCTATTCAGCTTATTGTTAAACTTAGCTGTGCTTTAGGATATGAACTAACACTTAACTGCATTAAAGAGAGTTTCATTGAGTGTGGGGAGTGAAGAAAACTGGCAACTGAACTGTGAGCTGTCAGGAGTGCATTTCATTCAAGTATATTTACACTGTGTATGTATATTCAGTTGGGCTTTAATGGAGTGCAATACTGAACTGACCATATAAATGTTTATAGTCACGTATACAGTTTTTCCCAGGGAGACAGTTAAAGTTTAAACTCATCTTAACCTGAAATACAGGTCAGAATACATACTATACATACAGCATGATGTGTGTCCACAAACATAAAATATATGGATGGACTCTTCATCTCAGTTTTACTGTATTCCTGTATAAATGTGCCCGAATCCAGTGTATTCACTAACAAATAAATCCATCAAAATTACAGCAAATTAATGCATATGGGTCACCACAGTAACACCAAAATGAAAGAGTGATTCCAGAGAGAAGCAGACAGAGGGGTCTACAGTCTGTGTTTGAAGGATATATCCAGGTTGTCAAACTGACTCAGCAGCAACAACAGGTTAAAAAGACGAACTATAGGCTACAGATCACAGTGTGAAAGTGAACCACCACATCACTGCTGATCGCCACAGAAGACAAT